GGTGGATACTGACGAATAGACACATTCCCACAGACACACTGACACACACACACAGACACACACAGACACAGAAACACACACGGGTGGATACTCACGAATAGACACACATTCCCACAGACACACTGACACACGAAGGTTTATATACACGCACATAACACGGACACATGCATGCATGCACGCATACAAAATGAAGGTAAGACAGAGATTCTCAATATTGCCTTTAGCAGGCTGTTGTGCCAAGTGTTTTTAGTGGGATACGTAGTGCAGTGTGATAACCACTACCACCACTCCCCGCATACATACAGACAGAAATCCTCCATGTAACCCTTCGATAGTCTTACACAGACTACACACACATCAAGTTTCAAGTTTCATTTATTAGGTATAGCCCTGTGAGCCATGTGGCTCTTTAGTCGGGTGCAGAACATCTTAAAGCGACAACGCGTAACAGAAACATCCTGGAATAATCCAGCAAATATTCCACACACAAATTTTTGTTTATTAAAACGCTGTGTGCAAAAATCGATGTGGTGCAAGCCAACAACAACAACCATAAGACAATTTAGATTAACCATATGTTTTCTAATCACCAAAATAAAGCTATAAAAACAATGCAACAACAGTAATCATAGGAACTATACATACACCCTTAAAGAGTCTACACAGACTACACACAAACACACACCATACCTACACAAACGTGCATACTTACAAACGTACACTGCTATATATACATTCAGACTCACACATACACACGGAGGCACACACACACGTACACACTAAGCTATGCACACTATTGGGGCAAGCTTGATGACATACGTGCACAAAGACCGACACAAACACACACACAGCAGAGTTCACCCACATCCTCTCCCGAGACTTCTACCGCTGCGTGTTCCACAGAGCCACTACCTCGCCTGAACCAGACTTAACATCTCCCGAGTTATTTCCCATGGAAATAAAAAAACACACACAAATCCTTGAACACTGCGTTTCTCTACAAGCCCAGTGATGCCTCGAGCCTGGGTTCAGCCCCGGGACTGGTTGTCTTGCTTTAATAGACAAAGATAAAGACAAAGACCCCCCCGTGTAGCCTTAACAAACTGTTGGGGCAAGTGCTGTTAGCGAGCACCTTTGAAGGCCAGAACGGCACACGAGGGGGTGGGTGGCCAGCACCACGCCCGGCCGCCTTTGTCTCCCCAGCGGCGATGTTTTTACGCACCACACCAGGTGCTCATTTGAGGCCGAGTCGACCTAGGGGAGGCCCAGGACCGGTTCAGATAATCGTCACTGATGTTGGCCGTGAATCGAACTCGGGTCGCGGGATTCGTATCGCGGCGTAGCGCTGGCCGCGAGACAGACACTACGCCTCCTGTACGGGTCGCCGGCTTCACGTGAAACTTTACAAGCACAGTGCAGTGCTCTCTTTTTTGCACATCTCACCAGGCCACAGGGCCTCCTGGGAGTGCAACGTTCAACATGAGCAGAACTCATAATAGAGGTTTTTTTGGGTTAATATGTAAATGTGTCGTTAAACCCGCCACCACCCGACACAGCCAATTAGTAAGGTTTGTCACGTAAAGAGATCGTGCGAATTCGTTACTAGTACGGCGCAATCTGAGATTGTAAATGTTTGTGGCTTTGCTCTCCAACACACTACCGGTGTTGCTGTACTAATAACGAATTGGCACGTTCTGTTTATATGACAAACCTTACTCATTGGCTGTGTCGGGTGGTGGCGGGTTAACGACACATTTATATATTTACGCGATCTAACCCAAGAAGAAAACTGTATTATGGATGATATTGGTCGCGAAAGCCTTCGTGTTAAAATGAGCAGAACTCTGGACCGGTTTTGACGTACGGAGTCTCATCGGCATTCAGTCTTTGCTGTTTTTTCCTGGATTTTTCTGTTTGTGCATAGTCACTTTAAGATGTTTTCTTGTTCATGTTTTTGTTTGTTGCGGTTGCACCCGATTCAAGAGCAGAATGGCTCACAGGGCTATACCAACTAAATGAAACTGAAAACTGAAGTCAGAAGATGTATTTATATTGGAGGAATCCGATGAGCTACAAAGCTTTTTTCACAGATGTCCAGTCGGGGCGGGTATGAACGTTACAACAACAATAACAAAAACTATATAGATATGCAAAGTACAAGAAAGGAAAACAAATCACCCAAACATATAAATACAAGACTAAACCATCCCCATCCTACCAGGCAAATCCCACCGAGGTATTAACTTGTTTTTCAGAAGAGACCTGGCCACAAATGACAGCTCAACAAAGTGCCTTATCATTTAGACATTTACAGCAGCAAAATAATCTAAATAATCTCAATGCATGTTTCTAAACCAATCACTGGCGGTGAATTTCCAGACATTTACGGCATAAGCAAGGACCCTCTCGGTCAAATTTGTGTCTAAGTTAAGTCGTTATGGAAAATATTGGTTGAACGTAAAAAAATATCTTCAGAAAATTGGCCTCCTTCACGTATCTGTCCAGGGATAAATGTGGAGGTGGCGTGTGGTCTGCGTCGCCTGATGACTTGCAGAAGAACGCTCTAAATGTGCTCTGTCTTGCACTCGGAAATGAAAATGAAAAGGCAACGCTTTTTGCATTTTGTAGGCACGGCTTTGAAATAGCAGAGCACGGCTAACGTGTGGCCTCGGGGTGCCCAGGGTTCATGGTGTCTACTCGCCACTGTACCAGGCAAGGCCCTCTCTCACTCATTTAAGAAATTCATGATGACCGTGTCTGAGATACTGAGCCAGCACGGCTGACAAACCTGGGTTCAAACCCTGGGACTGGGTGTTTGTGTCTCTCTATATTTATTGAATATTTGGAGGGTTTCGTAAATGGCCGTGACACCGCTCGCTTGTGCTGCCAAATCCCGGCCACGTCACTAACACAAACAGCATTGATGATGGCCTTGATGATGATGATGAGTTTTGAGTATTTGGCCCTATAAATGTCCACATGATGAGCCATTTGTGATGGCCAAGTCGCTTCTGAAAAAAAGCTCCGTAGCTCAGTGGTAAAATAAAAAAAAATAGTTTAGATGGTTATAAAGTCTGAGTTATCCGTGGTTCAATTTCAATATTCGAGCTCCCAACAGTCAACGTTTGCTGTTCAAACAGTAACATAGATATTTTAAGTGTTCTTTTGTTTATTTTAAGAATTCCAACTCCGTACAGCATCCTTTAAAAACAACAACAGCAACAACAACAACAACAGCAACAACAACAACAGCAGAAACAACTGCACTGGCTCTGTGATAATTGAAACTGTAGAAGAAAAAAATTCCAAACGGGAAATTTCTGAACGTGCTTTTTGTTAACCCCCGACGCTAATGAGGCCCAATTAGGTTACTAACAACCCCCTTGCAGCACGTGCTCACTTGAGGAGGGCCCGCGTTGACCACAGTTCACCGCGTTCCCTTGGACATTGTGTTTATGACTACGTTTTCTAGACTCATTATTTTTTGCAACACGAAGCCCTTTGCTCTTGCTTATCCTGAATGCGGCTCGTTTGTTTGTTTACGAAAGTGTAAAAAACAGCACCGTAGAGGCCACGGTGTGTTTTTTTTTCTAAATGCTAAGGGTAAGCATGTAGACGTCATAAGGGTTAGCATTTAGAAATGACGAAAAAAATCCATCATGTGAGAACGGTGCAGAATTAACCTACAATTTTTAAACAACAAAACAAAGACGAAGATTTTTTCCAGGCGACGTAGTTAACATCTCTTAGCCACCGTGATGACGATGAGAGACACACACACTCTAAATATACAGCAGCAGGCGCCAGGGTCGAGATCGAACCCACGACCTCCTTTATACCAGGCGAGGTAGTGAACATCTCCTAGCCACCGTGATGATGATGAGAGACACACTCTAAATATACAGCAGCAAGAGTCAGGGTCGAGATCGAACCCACGACCTCCTGCACACCAGGCGAGGTAGTTAATATCTCCTAGCCACCGTGGTAATGATGATGATGATGAGAGACACACACTCTAAATATACAGCAGCAGGCGTCAGGGTCGAGATCGAACCCACGACCTCCTGTATGCCAGGCGAGGTAGTTAACATCTCCTAGCCACCGTGATGATGATGAGAGAGACGCACACACCACGACCTCCTGCACACCAGGCGAGGTAGTGAACATCTCATAGACACCGTAGCGCCTTCGGGGGGAGGGGGCACCGGTGATTATAAACACTGGATAATCGCTCATCATTATTTAAAATATCTTATTTTTGCACATTCTTGCATGACATGTTTTTGGATGTTATGTATATTTTGTATGAAATTGGTATACATACAAATAAAACAAAAATCAATATCCCACTCTATTTCCTGAACCGTACTTACCACTCCAATCTCGAAGACTCTACATGGGGAGATGTGTATACACGTGCAGTATTTTAATTAAGTTGTAAGTAGTGTATAATGTACCGTATACAATATTTAACACCGCAATGAAGCATAGCTACTGTTTGTTTTGTCATGCACGTGGTGCCTGCCGATCGCCGGACTGGTTACAGCCTTTGGAGCGGTTTTGCCGGGACCGCCGGATAATGTTGGAATCTAGATAATCGCGCAGTGCCGGATAATCGATGATCAACTGGACTGTATATGTACAGACAGTCCCCGGGTTGCGGAAGACTCGACTTCGGGAAATCCGGCCTTACGGAAACGCTCCCATAAATCATGTTAAAAAATATAAATACGCGGAAACGTTTGCGTTAGTTACGTTAAGCGCAAGTAGCGCAGCGCGGTGAGGTTGCGGGTGATTGGTACTGCGCAGCTCGAGCTTCACGAGGATTAAGTTAAATTGAATTAATCTTGATTTTGGGGGGGAAATGTTCAGTTTCCGACATACGGAAAAATCGAGTTACGGATCGTTCTAGGGAACCTAATCATCCCGTAAAACGGGGACTGCCTTTGCCGGGTTGCGCGATGACGTCAACGCGTTCGAAAAGAAACATCGACGTCGTGACGTCACCGCGGTATACGCACATCGCGGTGACGTCAGCCGGCGCACAGAATAACAACAAGAAGCGGTGTAAAATGGCGAAAGCGGGAGCCGTGGTTCTGTTCGCCGTCTTCGCGAACGCGGCATTCGTTGGCGTCAGTGCAGAGGTGAGAACGCGTGAGACGTCAGTCGTTAAAATGGATAATCATCACCTTTGGTTTGTTTTATTTGTTTCCCTCCCCCCCCCGCGCTGAAATTCGCTGCCGCGTAACGTTGGACCGGCTGCGGCCTAGCGAGACCACGCTCTGGCCTGAAATGTCGGCGGGGTTTGAGGGCGACCTTAGCCGGTTAAGAGCACGGAGGCACCGGGCTTTGGGGTGGTAGCTTTTTACCTTTTCAAATGTTGCAATTTTCCGTTTAAACAATTGCGTGGTTAAAAAAAAAACCCCACGTATTAGGATCCTAACTACGCGTGCAATGTGGTATTTGTGTGTATGTGTCACTGTGTGTGCGTGATTTGGGGAGCGGTAGTGTAGTGGTTAGCGCTACGCTGCGCTACGAACCCGGCGACCCGGGTTCGATTCTCGCTCACGGCCAACACCGCTGACGATTGTCTGAACCGGTCCTGGGCCTCCCCTAGGACGACTCGCCCTCAAGTGAGAAACCTGGTGTGGTGCGTCAAAACATCACTGGGGAGACAAAGGCGGCCGGGTGTGGTGCTGGCCACCCCACCCCCCTCGTGTTTGTGCCGGCCTTGATAGGTGCTCGCTAACAGAATTTGCCCCAACAGTCTGTTACAGGCTGTACTGGGTGGTGGGGAGGATCTTGGTTCTTTGATGAGCGTTAATGGATTCTACATCCCGTGCCGAAAAGCGTCAACAATGTCTTTGCCATCCTCGCCTCGTCCCGCAAAGCCAAGCAGGCGCTGGGGTCACCACAGGCGCTGGGGTCACCACAGGCGCTGGGGTCACCACAGGCGCTGGGGTCATCACAGGCGCTGGGGTCACCACAGGCGCTGGGGTCACCACAGGCGCTGGGATCATCACAGGCGCTGGGGTCATCACAGGCGCTGGGGTCATCACAGGCGCTGGGGTCACCACAGGCGCTGGGGTCACCACAGGTGCTGGGGTCATCACAGGCGCTGGGGTCATCACAGGCGCTGGGGTCACCACAGGCGCTGGGGTCACCACAGGCGCTGGGGTCACCACAGGCGCTGGGGTCACCACAGGCGCTGGGGTCACCACAGGCGCTGGGGTCACCACAGGCGCTGGGGTCACCACAGGCGCTGGGGTCACCACAGGCGCTGGGGTCACCACAGGCGCTGGGGTCACCACAGGCGCTGGGATCACCACAGGCGCTGGGGTCACCACAGGCGCTGGGGTCATCACAGGCGCTGGGGTCACCATAGGCGCTGGGGTCACCACAGGCGCTGGGGTCATCACAGGCGCTGGGGTCACCACAGGCGCTGGGGTCACCACAGGCGCTGGGGTCACCACAGGCGCTGGGGTCACCACAGGCGCTGGGGTCACCACATGCGCTGGGCTCACCACAGGCGCTGGGGTCACCACAGGCGCTGGGGTCACCGCAGGCGCTGGGGTCACCGCAGGCGCTGGGGTCACCGCAGGCGCTGGGGTCACCGCAGGCGCTGGGGTCACCGCAGGCGCTGGGGTCACCACAGGCGCTGGGGTCACCACAGGCGCTGGGGTCACCACAGGATTGCTGTGCCTGCTTGTGCCTTGTAACTCGATGCCGCCCAACTGATGCTCTTGCTTCATCAACCCACCCGCACTGACAGGCATTGGTATGGGTTTAAGAAAAAAAACATAATCTCTCACGGCGTCAGGAGGTCCTCTCGTCCAGCAGTGAATTGTCAAAAGGAATGCGGCATGTGCGTGCTGGTGTACTGCGGGTTCTGCTCAAGCACGATGGTGATGTGTGCGAGTCGTGTTACTGCTTGGCCATTATTTAACCATGGGGAGTGTGCACTTTTGAGATTGTCTCCTCCTTTAATCAGGCGAGTGCCCAGCGACGTTCAATTGTCTCTTGAATCTAATATTAAAGTCCTCGATTTAAACTCGTCAGAGCACATTGAGATCCAGCATGTGGTGTCATTAACGCCCGCGACTCAACCGGCTGAGAACACATTGCAATTTTAGTTTTTTTAAATATTCGTGTTATTTGATTGACTCGGTGGGATCACGTTGAGTTTGTGTCTTCTCTTGTGATTCATCATTCGATTTTCTTTTATTATAGCCAGGTGAGTGGCATAACACATGGCTGTCGTCGAACATTGTGTTGGTGTTATTAATGTAACCAGGTAAGATTATATTAAAATGCATTATCTTTCAGAGTTGACATCTTTATATTACCGTGTAAGAGTTGTTTGATGTCACGGTCTATTTAACTGAGAGTACACGAGCAGGTCCTCATCATCATCGGCCATGGTCAATCAACAGCTGGATGAACGCCTCCCCACCACGATCCTCGGAGTAAATATCCAACCAAGCGCCTGCACGCAAACTGATTTGGTCGCCTCATCTCCTCGGTGATCTTGCTCTCGGAAATCGTTCCATCCTTGGCTGTCACCGCAATTGCTTCCGAATAAATTTTCCTTCTTTATTTAACCAGGTGGGCAGATAATTTAAATTAATTAAGCTCTTACGTTGATTGACAACCTTTATTTAATCACGTGAGAAGAGCGATTTGAGATTGATTTCTGAAATCAATGGCATCCCCAATTTAATCAGAGGTATGAACCCACGAAGACTCACTCACGTTTTGTGATTGATAGCCTTTTAAACAGGTGAGAGGCATATTGAGATTTAGCTCAATAATTTGTGGAAATAATTGGTGTATTTTAACCAGGTAAGAGCCCAACGAGCTGTGATGTGCTCTGATTGATATCACTGGGTGAAGACTTAATTGAGATATAAACTTAAGTCATTGAATTTATCTCATCTCTTAGATGATTGATGACCATTATTTAACTCGATGATAAGCCATTGTTATTAGTTATGTTATGGCATCCGTGTCCTTTATTTAACTCGTAGATATCATTGAGTTGAATTATCTCCAGGATGAATAATGGCACATTGAGATTCATTATCTCAAAAATTATTTACTTTACTTGACCACGAGACCCCGTATTTTTGCGATTGACGTCTATTTTGTAAACAGGTGAAAGGCCATTGAGGTTAATTGTCTCTGCTGATTGAAGTCATTGATTTAGCCAGGTGAGACATTATTGAGAAGCATTACCGCTCGTGATTCATGTCCTGCATTCAGCAATGTGAGAGCGCATTCTCTGTCTGTTGTGATATTATTACTACAGCGTAATCACTTTTTGGAAACTGCGGGCTTGGGCAGGACACGTCGTTGGAAGGGATGATGCGCCAGCAGGCGAGAACAACGATGGAGTGGCAGCGAAGGGAGGCAACGTGCCCTAGGGGTGTTGTGGCGATGGAGCGATGAAATCAGCTGTTGTGTGCTGTTGCATGGTGGGATGTCACATCACAGGGCCCCATGGCTCTCGCCTCGGGAAGCCTTCATCAAGCAGTGGATTCATCATGGCTGGTGGCCAGGAGATGTTAACTACCTCGCCTGGTATACAGGAGGTCGTGGGTTCGATCCCGACCCTGACGCCTGCTGCTGCTGTATATTTGGAGTTTGCGTGTCTCTCTCCCCGTGGTCGCGCTGATTTTTTTTCCGTGTCTTGTTTTTTCCTCCGCATTTAGAATCCACATCACGCGTTTATCGTGTTTGATGTAAATTTCCACGCAATAAGCCATTTTTGTTGAGCTATCATTTGTAGCCAGATTAATTCTCAAAAGAGCTATAAATCTCAGTGTTTTACCTGGTAAATATATTTTTTTTGTTAAATGTGAGAGCCTATTGAGAGTCGGTAGCTTTAAAAGAGTGATGGTTTTTTAAGCAGGTAATAATCCATCATCTCTTAAATAATTATAATCGGCATCCTTAATTTAACCATGCATAAGCCAATTGAGATCCATTGTTCCTTTTGCAAGCAAGGTCTGTGAAAACCCTTTGATAAAGGTATACATTGAATTATCTCTGGTAGGTTGCAACGACTATTGTGCCAATGATGATGTCACACGCTCTTTAACAGCCTCATCACATCAGACTCAACAGCTGTGAACTGCGCAAATTGCCAAAATGGTTCGCTGTGTAATACTGTGCCCTCTTAATATTTTGCACGCAATGCGTTGAAGTGCAAATCCTTGTTGGGCATCGTCTTAGTCCATCATCATTGCTTTGCATTAGATAAAATGAGTCCTGTCACCAGCGAGGTCGCCATAAATGCACCCAATCTCATAAGATCTCAGACGGCAAACGGGATTGAACCTGCTTAAGTGTGTACGTATGTCAAACTTCGTTCGCGCACCGTACATAGCCAACCGTGCTCATCGTAAGTACGGGTTGAATGTCCACCAGAGCTTGCCAAGTGTTGTAGGCTGCGAGCTTGATTGAAAGTGGTGAGAGTCTTGAGTGTTTTCCCCTCATATGCATGGGTGTTCCTCGGCCTCGTCAAGTCTGGAAATTTATTGGGTGAATGACCGCCAGTGAAACATACCAGGTGTCGTAGGTGTGGGCCTGTGAGATAATCGGAGAGGTTGCAGTACAGCAATGAGTGTGGTCCACAGATTTAGTGCACTCGCTACTGTGAGTCTGTGGATTAAATTTATAAGTGTGGAGCTTTGAGCATCACCCCCTCCTCGTATGTGTGGTCAGTTTCCTACCACATGAAGCCAAACGCTCATTCATGACGTTTGTCAAACGTCACAATGCTGGACTCTCTTGAAAACGAGTTTTGCGACTTCATTGGAATATGTGATCATCCTAATACTTTTCATTATTACTATTGTGAGTCTTATATAATACTTGCCATCCGATGGAAAGGCCAGCCACGTCAGGGGAATATGAAATTTCCACTGCCAGCGCAGCGTTGTCAACATTGGCGCTCGCGAGACTACATTTGATGACAATACTTGGAAGTGTTTGGATAAACTTGACCCACCACGGTTAATGATTACAATTTCCACCGCTGGCTCGGGATCAGCAGTGGAAAGTCAATGACACCCTGAGGTCATTCGTGGGGCATGGCGACACTGAAAAGCCTTGTTTTTTTTGCACGTATTCATAATGCTTACGATCACATCAACTGGAATACGCCCGGCCTCATCATCGCAACAGCTAAGCAGGTTTGAGCCTCGATAGGACTTGGAATGAGCGACCACCGTACCAAAAAAAACGGATGCTATTGGCTGCTGCAGGTCTCTGTTAGCAGGAGATAGTGCAGAAGACAATAATTATACAGGTAGTCCCCGAGTTACGATGGTCCCCGACTTACGATGGTCCAACTTACGATATTTCGATTTTACGATGACGATAGCGATAAGACAAAATTGTTAAATATTTTCTAATTTCGCGCGGCAGGCAAACGCAGCAGCGTACGAGGTACGATAATGTACGTTGTTTTTTTTTTATTGCAGATAGGATTGTTTCCTGAAAAAACTTTCTATTAAATTGCAGTTCATATAGGTAGGCTAAGAATTTATCTTGTTTTTTTAATTTTCATTTTACTGTGCAATACAGTATTGTAATTAATAAATACATACAGTATATAGTTTATACAGTACGGTATTGTAAATTTGCTCTGTTTTGCTCAATTATCACCATTCTTTAAGACTACTGGGTAGGCTAGGCCATCTTCGACTTACGATATTTTTGACTTGAGGATGGGGTCGTCGTACCGCATCTCCATCGTGAGTAGAGGACTACCTGTATTGTTTTCTCTTGTCCCACACTTGTGTCCCCCCACCTTCACCAAACCCAACATCGCCCGGCGTGCCGAAGTATGACAATAAACCCACATGACCCACTCGGCATGGGCAAGTCCTCCTCTTCCAGCAGTGGGTTGACAGACTGACTGTACATATAGTGGTGTACATTCGTACGTCACCACGTGTCTGTATTACGCAATTGCTTTCAAATGATTTTGGTCTGTAGCAAGTTGTGCAAGTGCGTTTGTCTGCTCATCTCATGCACTTACAGGGGGCTTCATGGTTCCTGCAATTATTCGCGCAAACAGCATTCTGTGCCAAGCAAGCATGGGCTTTAGTGTGAAAAATGTGTCAGCGTGTAGCCCTAATCAAATTAAGCATTATATGAAGAGAGAATACTTTGGCCCTCCTAGCTATTGAAAGTGTGCTGGGCATTTGTTGTGGTCAGGTATGGTCAAATAATCGCCCTCTACCTGCATGGGGTTGTGAGGCCCTCGTCCATCAGTGACAAAAGGGTTAAACCTGAAGGTCGTGAGTTCAAATCCCAGTTAAGGATCGACTCAGCCCATCATCCATTCCTCCTGGATGTGTAAAATTAAAACCACTTTGTGGGATTTCAGCAATCGTTCTCTTATGGAGAGGCTGGTCCCTGACATGGTAATGTGTAATTTCTACTTCTGGCTCCTCTGAGCAGGGAAATGCTGACGTTGGTTGTGGGATGATGATGATGATGATAATGGTGACATTAATCAATGTGATGATGAAAATGGTTGTAAAGATTGCAGCTGAGTTGATCTTGTTGATTGTGATGGTAATAGCATTACTAGTGGTGGTAATAATTATAATAATGCTTGTCATGTTCATGATTAAATATTTTACATTTACATAACAATATACATGAATATGATGATGATAATTGTTAATAATTTTATGATGCTGATGATGAAGGCGATGGTAATGATGCAATGATGATAACAATGGTAGGGGTTTAAAACGATTGTATAACGTACATTGACATGATATTGACTGACGTGAAATGATGATGTTGATGATAGTAATCGTGATAATAATTTGATGATGATGTCACACTTGTTGTTACAGAGCAATGCTCAAATAAACGTGCTGGTACAATCTCTCAACCAGTCCCGGCAGTTTGAGGTGAGACCACTCTTCATTGCGTTTCATTAACACTGGCACAGTTAGTGTGTCACACTCTTCATCCACCTCCATCCCAATTAGCCAACCACCACCCACAGGCACACGACAAAGCAGAACAAAAATACCAAGGTGCCTCTGCTCTGCCTTCTAGACTTTTGGCAGCAAGTGGTGTTAGTGGGCGTCTATTAAGTCTGGTTGAGCACGTTGGTTGTGGTGTGGCCAGCAACACAACAACAATAACCACCGTTCGCCACTAAATGGCGGTGATGTCTCCACAGCGCTTGTGCCAGTGTGTGTACACTGTAAGGCCACGTGAAGGGTCAGAACGGCCGCCGGCAGGAGGTCACGGGACAGACCCAAGTGTCATATGTTGACTTACTGAGATGATTGGCCGATGCACCACCTGTGCCCCCTACTGTGCCAACTTGTTGTGCTTTAGCCACCCGGCGCTCTGCTCGTTGTTGAGCGTCGCTCCTCCGCCCTCCATTGTTGTTGGAGTGCGACTGCCTCCAACTGCCCAGTAGCGTTATTCACGAGCCTCCTCCACGGAGGCCGATCTTGACACCACTGGTACCAGTCATCGACAAGTCCACTCGGCTCCACATCCTCCTGTACCACACCACTCCATCTCTTCTCTAGCCCGTGCTGCGCCCGTTTTGCTCGCTCTAGCCGGCTGAAGAACACACACGCACACATGACTACCTTTGTCTGCCCAGGTGCCCCGATGTCCATTACGAACACCACGGTGACCGTTGTTACGAGCATGCTTTCGACCCGTAGCACACCACGGGAAAGGGGGCAGAGTCGATGTTCATGAATGGAAGAATACAAAGGAATGGGAACGGGAGGAGAGTTGCGAAAGAAAGGGAGGTGCGAGGGAGGAAAATAATGGAGAAGGGAAATAATGGAGAAGGAACGGAATGACGAGACCACCGTGTCAGGAGAGATGAGGATAGGCGAGGAAGCGGCTGCATCAGGGCCTCGGCATTGCTGCATGAAGCCGCCTCTGTCCTCACAGGGTGGCTGGAAGAGAAGAGGGACTCCGAGTGGGGCTGGCAACACATAAGTTGCGTGATCTACAGGAGGCTTGAGCTGCTCGAGATGGAGATATTTGTTTTAACGATTGCTCCCGATGACTGTGTCACAGACACAGAACCAGCGACCACTGATTCCTTGGTTCAAGCTGCCGAGTGTCTCTTTCAACCCTTTGCCGTTCCGACGACGTACGTGCACTTCATCAGTTTTCCTTTTAGTTTCGTTTCGACGACGTACTTGTACATCATACAAATAAAACCGGAAGAAAAATATAATAATTTGAATCGGTGCCGAGGCTCCCACAAGGCCATGCGGGAGGGCGTGTGGCACTGTTTGGCACCGGCTATCGTAGATTGGCGGCGGATGTGTCGCTTCGTTTCTCTGTGGTGAGTCACATCTTAAAAAACAATGGCACTACTACGCTTCTTGCACAGGTCTTAGAACAGGAAAGGAGTTAAGCGATTTGTAATGGCCAGGTCAGAGCCTCTAAGCCACTGGTGGACATTGCTGATTCTCATGACAGGGTTCATTTTATAAAAAAAAATGTAAATGTGGAATGACCACTGCCAGTGTATGACTACTGGTCTATTGCTGGAGTCAGAAGGTTGTAGATTCAAATCCAAGTCGATGATCACGTTGATCTATCATTCATACATAATAATGTATGTAAATAATTTTTAGCCCTTTGTCAATACATTGCTGGGTGAAGGCCTTCCCATGCTGTGGGAATGAAACTAAGGCTGCTACGTTTGGGGGGTGTTAACCACTGCAGCACCACTCCCTCAATCATTCTTTCGAGGTAGATAAATATAGTACCACAATACACAGTGGGGATTGTCTTGACAAATTTATATATTAAACAAATTTCAAGACGGCTTTCATCCCTACTCATTTTTATTCGTTGCTCCGTAGTGAAAATTCAATATTCCTATGGCAGAGGGCACTATATCAACAAAAACCCTTGCTGACTTCCTGAAAAAGGGTGCCTCCTCTAATCAAACCTAAAAGGCCGATGACGACGATGATTTTGAACAGCACGATGAAGGTGACCGGGGTAACTTCAGTCCCCAACCAGGATTTGTACTCTCTGCCGATTGTGAGTCAAGCTGTCTCAACTCAATCACTGTCTGGGCAGAATTTTTTTTAATCACATTTGAAAAATAAAAAAATGGATTTTCACATTTTTTTTGTTCCTGCAAGTCACTTAATCCATCCAGCATTGGTACTTTGCAGCGTCCGAGCGAACGCACTTACGTGGGGCTGTCAACGCGTTTTGAAACGTTAATACCGAATTTAAAAAAATGTATTTGCAAATTCATTTTTCACCCCCCCCCCCCCCCCCGCCACTTGGGGCGAGAGACAACACCTGGGGCTGTGAGGCACGTACAAAGACAAAAATCCCCCATATGGCCTTAACAGAATGTTGGGGCAAGTGCTATTAGTGAGTAGCACCTACGAAGACCGGCAAGGCACACGAGGGGATGGGTGGCCAGCACCGCACCCGGCCACCTTTGTCTACTTCGTGGTGACGTTTACTCGTTCAAGGCTGAGTCGACCTAGGAGAGGCCCAGGACTGGTTCAGATAATTGTCACTTGTGTTGGCCATGAGCGGGAATTGAACTCGGGCCTCCTGGTTCGTAGCGCGGCGCGCTAACCGCTACACTACCGCTCCCCACAGAGGCACGCGCACACACACACACACGTGTATATACAGTGAGGGAAAAAAGTATTTGATCACCTGCTGATTTTGTACGTTTGTCCACTGACAAAGAAATGATCAGTCTATAATTTTAATGGTAGGTTTATTTGAACAGTGAGAGACAGAAAAACAACAAAAAAAATCCAGAAAAACGCATGTCAAAAATGTTATAAATTGATTTGCATTTTATTGAGGGAAATAAGTATTTGACCCATCTGCAAAACATGACTTAGTACTTGGTGGCAAAACCCTTGTTGGCAATCACAGAGGTCAGACGTTTATTGTAGTTGGCCACCAGGTTTGCACACATCTCAGGAGGGATTTTGTCCCACTCCTCTTTGCAGATCTTCTCCAAGTCATTAAGGTTTCGAGGCTGACGTTTGGCAACTTGAACCTTCAGCTCCCTCCACAGATTTTCTATGGGATCAGGGTCTGGAGACTGGCTAGGCCACTCCAGGACCTTAATGTGCTTCTTCTTGGCGATTCGCTGGAGGAAGGTGATATCACGGGAGTACTCCTCAGATCCTTTCAATTGTCGTCTTATCCACACTTTTCATGTGGCCCATAGTAAAATACAAATTTTAGAACACGAATTTTACCAGGTTCGGCATGGACTAGCCCCCACCATAGGAACCTGGACTTTTCACAGCTGGAACAGGGCTGCTGAACGTAAGATGGCTCCATTCGAGCAGGGAGTCGTGATGAGACGCCGGTTTTCCCTCGTTGCAGGCTCGGTGCAGGCTCGGTGGACGCACGCGTGATTTAATCGGGGACACGAGTACAGTAGTTCCCTCGGTTAACATGAAAACTACCGTTCACCGAAATAGCTGTTCATCGAATATAGGAATTCGGTGTAAAACGCATGAATGCGTTCCAAGACCGTTTGACACGTAGGCACTTGCGACAGGTTATTCATGATAACGTTTTTTTGGATTAGATCGTGTGAGTATAAATGTGTCGTTAACCCACCACTACCCGACACAACCAATTTAGTCAGGGTTGTCACATAATCGAAATGTGCCAATCGGTTACTAATTCAGCACACCGGTGTGTTGGAGAATAAATCCACAACATTTACAATTTTAGTACCGTGACATTTCGCTGGTAATTGCATCTAACGTCACAGTACTCGAATTGTAAATGTTGTGGATTTACTGTCCAACACACCGGTGGGCTGAAGTAGTCACTAATTGGCAAGTTTTGTTTACGTGACTAACCTTGATGTAAGCGGCTGTGTCGGGTGGTGACAGGTTAACGACACGTTGATATTTACACGATCTAACCCAGATAAAAAGCGTTCCAAAACGATCGTGAGTTGACCTCTTTGACCCAAAAAAATAGTTTCTAACATTTAAACACTCATTAATAATAAAGGAACATTACAATAACATATTGACGGATTAATAGAAACATCGTTAAATAATGAATAAATAGAGCATAACAATTACTGTCTTGGGCTAAGAAGTTAGCTGGCTTAATGGGGTTGCAGGATAAATTGAGGTAGGAGAAAATTTATTTTTGTAAGGAGAGTCTCCTTCCATTCGAACCTCTGGAGGTCCAGAAGTGCTGGCTCCTGATGTTGATGGCTCCAATCTTGGCCTCTTTCTCAAGAAACCGTCAAGATTTGTTTGCTGTGCTGCCTTCGCTCCTCTCCATTCACAACTTCTTGAAGGAGGGCATAAATTGGCGTCGCCGATTGGCTGAGAGAATGGCTCGGCCCCACTTACGAGCGCTCGCATTGTCCGAAATTGGCGACCCGCGTGCATAACGTAAACATGCCACTAGACAAAATGTTAACGTCAGTCGAAACCATGGGGGTTCCTATGGGAGGCGAAACGTTGATTGACAAACCGTTAACCGATGCCACTGGTTAACCGAGGGACTACTGTACATTGAAGGACTTGTTCCAGGGATTGAATAACGGCTGGGGGAGAAGGAAGAGGGGAGGCTACAGGAGCGTCACGAGAATTTCAGTCTGGCTTCTAAAATTGCCTCTGAAAGTGCAGTTAAATTGCTCGCTCCTTCCTGGGAGTCTAAATTGTCAAAACTCAGAGGCTCAAGCGAGCGTGGGCTCACGTGCGCTGAGCCGGATGTGGACATTTTTACATTCTGCCAGCGGTCTTCAGCATTGCGACAAACACCAGCGTACCCTTTGCAACATAACGATCACCAACGTCATCATCACTATCATCAACTCCGCACGAGAACATGTTAATCACCGCACTGGCCATAACGACAACGTGTTATCACCACTGCTATCATCTTTACCACTGAAAGCAGGCTGGCCCTTTGTGCACAAGGTAATGTCTTTATTCCACGGCACTGCTTCACGTTCTCGTTCTCTCCCGCAACGCCCCGAACTCTGCCTCTCGCTCCCTCTTTTTAACCTCCTCCTGGCTCCGCACTTCCTCGCCCTCCATCTCCACCAATCGTCCCTCTCTTACCCTCACCTGGCCTAACCTTCCCACCTGGCGCTCACCCAGCCCTCCAGCTCTTTTCCCTTTTGAACGTTCCGGCCAATCCTTTTGCTGCCCGTGCCCTAACCGATCGGAGCGTGGAGTGTTTGCTCCTCCCTTCTTGATTACTCTGGTCCCAGGGATCGCGTGGGACAATCACCACACCACAACAATGCGGCAAAAAGCCATTGTCGTGCTCCAATGTTACACTCCCAAGCCTCTGCTCCCTATCTTCACCAATCCATGCCAGCCTGGCGCACCGTGGGAAAATAACCCCCCGAGGCCCTCATCCAGAATTAGGGCTGTGTGCGCCACTCTCCAAAATGTTATTCGGGTTGGACCACACTACGTGTTGAATTGCGCGATATCCGACGTTTTGCCCCACGTGCTGGGAGCGTGCAGATTCGTGTGTATGTGTGTACATCCCCGTGCAGCATCTGAGAACGGTACTTCTGGCTCCAGAGCGCACGCAAGCATACTGAGCTCAGTGTCTTCTCGCGACAAATAACAGCGGTAAATATTTGAGCCGGTCCCGAGCCTCGCCTCGGTCGACCCAACCTTAAAAACGAGTACCCGGGGTGGGGTGTATAAACATCGGCGCACGGGGGAGACAAAGGCAGCAAAGGTGTGGTGTTACCACTTGTCCACGAGTGTGTCCCGTCGGCCTTCATGGGCGCTTGCTCGCAGCGCTTGGCCCAACAATCTGTTAACGACGGACCTTTACCGGGGGGGATCTTTGCGTGTTTGTGTGTGCGCGCGCGCAGGTTCGTTTGGACGTGACGGTGAGCGAGGGTAAAGTCTCTGTGAACACGCATCCCGTGGGCAGCAACGTGGTGACTCGTGTGGATTGCCAGGCTGACGTGGGTATGCACGCGCACGTGCGCGCATCCACTCTGTGTGTGCTGGGGCACCGCGCTGAAGGTCGCAACGTCTCTCTTGCTGCTTATTTCCCTCGCACTTGCCCCACTTGAATTCCCTCCCCATCATCATCATCGTCGTCTCTTCTCCAAAGCTTCACGCTTTGGGTCTTTGGGGCTCTGCTCAGCAAATTGGTTTCACAAAACACATGCAGGCAAAGGTCCCCCATGTAGCCTTCAACAGACGGCTGGGGCAAGTCTATGTGCGTCTGCAAGTGGTGCTGTATGTGTGTGTGTTATATCTTCTATATATGTATGTCTCTGCTAGAGGATCTGTATGTTATAGTGTATTACATTATCCGTATGTGGGTGTCTTTGTGCAAGAGGATCTTTGTGTTCTAGTTTATTACATCGTTTGTGTGTGTGTGTGTCTGTGATAGAGGATCTGCATGTTATAGTGTCAGCTTTGTGTGTGTCTGCTATAGATGTCCAAATGATGGGCCACTTTGTTGAGCTATCATTTGTGGCCAGGTCGCTTTTGAAAAACAAGTTAAAACCTCAGTGGGCTTTGTATAGTAGGATGGGGATAGTTTGGTTTTATGTGTATGCGTTTGTTTTATTTACCTTTCTTGTACTTTGCACTCCTATCGTGTTTTTGTACTGTTTGTTGTAACGTTCTTACCCGTGCCCCGACTGGACATCTGTGAAAAATTACTTTATAGCTCATCGGGTTCCTCCAGTATAAATACATCTTCTGATTCTGATTTATGTTGTAGTTTGTGATATCGTTCGTCTGCGTGTGTGCCTGTGTACTAGCGGAGCTGGCCACTGATGGAGTGTCGGTGCTGCAGCAGTGGTCATCCCCCGTGAGTCTCCGTGTGCTCGTGCTCGAGTCTCCCATCTCGGGGCAGCCAGGCCGGCCGGGCATCGTGGCCCAGCTGCAGGTGACTGACATCGACTCAACGCAGGTGAGACCGTGTGTGCGTGTTTGTGTGCGTGTGCGGTAGAATAGCGGCTAGCGCGCGCTGCGCTACGAACCCAGCGACCCGGGTTGGATTACCGCTCACGGCCACCAACATCACTGACGAATATCTAAACCCGGTCCTGGCCCTCCCCTAGGTCGACTTAGCTTAAAATGAGTACCTGGTAAGGTGTGTAAACATTGCCACTGGGGAGACAAAGGCGACCGGGCGTGGTGCTGGCCACCCGCTCCCTCGTGTGCCTTGGCGACCTTCATAGGTGCTGCTCGCTCATAGCACTTGCCTAACAGTTTGTTAAGGCTACACGGGGGATCTTTGTCTTTGTATGCTCGCTCACTTTCACACTCGCACACATTCACTCGCTGACACCCTGACCCTGTTGCTCGCCTGATTGCGTCGGCCGGGACGCTGTGAGGACACCGCATCTCCTGCACGCGTCTCGACTCGCTCATTGTGTGAGGCGTCACTCGGTACGCAGAGTGAGGACACAGCACCACTTTGTGTCCAAGAATGACCTCCAGAACGTAACGTTACAGAACTACTTTTGAGTTTCTTACATTGACCACTTAATCCACACGGGGTTGCCGTTCTATTGATTTACAACTAAGGTTCAGAGTGTGAATTTCACGAGCCTTGTGTCTATCTGTCTTATTTGTCGGTCTAAAATAGGGGGGCACTTTCCCTGGTGAAAAACAACCAAGTATTTTTTCAAAGGGTTGCCCAAAAACTTGGAATACAGAAAACAGCGCTAAAAGGGCACAGACACCTACGGCACACTGCCTAACACACCAAGGAAAGGTGTGTGTGTGAGTATGTGGTGTGTGTGCATGCGTGGTGTATTGACAAACCATGCCACCTGGGTCTGTCCCCGTGACCTCCTGTTAGCGAGCCTTCGACAATTCACGTGGCCTCAAAGTGCCCCTGGCCTGGCACAAGTGCAGTGGTGACGTCACCGCCACTGTCGCGTGTGCAGTGTTTAACGGACTGTGCTACGAACCTGGCGATCCGAGTTCGATTCCCACTCGCGGCCATCACCAGTGACGAATATCTGAACCGGTCCTGGGCCTCACCTAGGTCGACTGAGCCTCAAATGAGTACCTGGTACGATGTGTAATCATCGCTACTAGGGGACAAGCAGCCAGGCGCGGTGTTGGCTACCCCCCACTCCCGCGTGTGCCGTGGTGGCCTTCAGTGGAGTGACATCACGACGCGTGATGCTGCCTCGTGACACTGCACGACACGGGCAGCGTGACATAATCGCGACGTCACGCAACACGCGTGGTGAGAGTTTAACACGAAGTAGGCTTTCCTAACCAATATCTATAATAAAGGCTTCTCTTTGGGTTAGATCGCATAAATATGAATGTGTCGTTGAACCCGCCACCAACCGGACGGCCAATTAGTAAGGTCTGTCACGTAAACTTAACGTGCCAGTTCGTTAACTAGTTCAGCACTAAGCGGCGTGTTGGAGAGTAAACCCACAACATTTACTATTCGAGTACTGTGACATTTCGCTGGTGATTACAACAACAGCAACAACCAGCTTCATCAGGCGATAGGCAGAATTGTGAAGAATTCCTCCTGTGTTCGGTCACACCACCGCACGTGATGATGTGACGTAAGCCTGGAAACACCTCACGTCACTGTAGATAGAGACTCCCCTGGACAAAGACCGTTTGGGGAAAGTGTTACAGAATCCATGCATAAGCGTGATTTTCCTTCCCTGATACAGAAGACTCGATAATTATCCACGTGCGGTTTACCCTTTTTGAAGATTAACCGCGCACCTGAGATTTTTACATAAATTAACAACTCGTGGATTTTCCCTTAGGCCTAAATTAATAGTCATAGACCAGTGATATATTGTTATTCTTGGAAATGTTTATTACAAGCCACCTGCTTAAACCGAACAAATATGTGCTCCGGTCCATGCGAAATCCACATGATCGCCCCTACAGTACAGTAGTTGCCATATCTTTACAATCGTCGGCGGAGTTTGATTGGTGTGGCTCTGCTGTCCACATAGTGGGCCGAGTCTTCTGCGCGGGAGAAGCAAAGTTGTTATCATAGAGCACCCACATCGATCGGTCGATCGTGAGTATTTGTTCTAAATAGAAAGGTTAACAATCGAAATCGTCAGTTGTGCTAAAAAAAACACAAATTTACACCCTATGTTTGGCATAGAGACCCACGTAAAATGGTTATATTTTTGGATTTTCTGTGATTTTTAGTTATCCGCGGGAGTCCTCCCCATCAACTGTACTTGGTGTTTATATTTTTTCTGCATGCGCGAGGAAACTGAAGTGCCCGGAGAAAACCGCCACACGTCATGTTATATTCCATCTCGCCATCATCCGGCTGGCTGCGTTTATTTTTTATTTTTACGCTTTTAGATATTTTATCCACCAGCATCGGCATGCATACAGATTTTCACGTCTCCTCTCGAGAGATGTCGCCTTAATTTATTAACGCGCCCGAGTTGGCGAACGGCAAGGGGAATGAGTCGAGCGCTCCCCCACGAATTACATTTCTTCCCCCATGAGCCGTATGAAGGCTGGGAATTTAATACATTTGATCTTTTCCCTCTTTCCATTCTCGCGTGAAATAAATAAATGCACACCGTCCGCTTCCCCCCCCACCGCGAAGCTGCCGTGATGCAATAGCGAGCAGCGTACTGAACTTGCGATCCGTTGAACACCGATTCGATTCGATCTCCCGATTCGATCTCCCGCCGAGGCAGTTTAAACAACGGGGCGAGTTTCTTAAATCTCTCACCGCCACTGTTCGCCCAGCTGTGCGCAGTCGCCTCGCTTTTTACGCGGGTTTACGTGACGCGATTTGTTTAAATGGCGCGTTAGGTTAATTTACGCTTGTTTTTTTTTTTGTTATGCGCCCACTATCATCGAAGCGACGGGCTCCAGCACCGTGGTGCTGCGGTGTCACAGAATGCGCTTCGAGCTCATCGTTAGTCGGGGCAGCAAAGTTGAGTGGCGACACCGCCTCAGGTGCAGCAGCAGTACGACAACCACCACAAGCGCGGACAGCAGCACCAGTCAGCATCTCCTTCTCGCGCGCCATTCGCAAGATCTTGTCCGCATAGTCTTTGTCTTGTGCACGCATCTTGCTTGACGTGTTTAAAAAGCTGTTCGTTTTACTTATTTTTTTTTTAAATAGGTTGTTACTTTCTTTAATACATGTATGGTAGTGTATTGTAAATATAATATGTTACCGTAATCGGTGAAATGCGTAGACGTACGAGTGAGGTACCATAGCTCTCCCTAACCCCAACCATTTCCTTGATTTATTATGGGGAAAATTACGTTTTATTTCGCGCGTTTTTGAGTTGCGCGCCGTTTTTCAAGAACACAACCTCCCGCGTAAAACGAGAGGTGCTCGTAGAACTGGGTACACCGCGGAGAGTTGATCCGCAGCTCACGGGTGGTGGGGTGAAGTGTGGGTGCATCTGGCCAGCATTGGAAGAGTAGGGATTTGTATTCGTTGGGTCTTTCGGTAGTAGAGATTTTATTATGAGAAGCTATCTGGAACTTACCTGGAGGGTCCTTCAGCCAGCGGTGACCGCAGCCAGCGACTGCAGGGATCCACCATCGCCTACTCTCCTCCCGTTTTATATTCGCACCTCTGGGTGTGTGGCAACGGCTGCTGTCGAGATTGTGACTCGATTGCGTTCACGTGCAGCAGGCGGTTTATGCGGTGAATAGCCCAACCAACAATATATATCCGTTGTAATTTATGTGAATGCCTTAATCCCCCCCCCCCTCTCTCTGGTCTTTGTTTGGCACGTTTTGTTTATGTGACAAATCTTACTAATTGTTGTCGTCGTAGTTGTCATAGTTGTCGTCGTTGTCATAGTTGTCGTCTTAGTTGTAGTTGTGGTCATTGTTATAGTTGTCATTGTTGTAGTTGTCATTGTTGTAGTTGTCATTGTTGTAGTTGTCATAGTTGTCGTCTTTGTTGTAGTTGTCGTCATTGTTGTAGTTGTCATAGTTGTCGTCTTTGTTGTTGTCGTCGTAGTTGTCATCATTGTTATAGTTGTCGTAGTTGTTATTGTTGTCTTAGTTGTCATTGTTGTAGTTGTCATTGTTGTAGTTGTCATTGTTGTCGTAGTTGTTGTCTTAGTTGTTGTCATAGTTGTCGTCTTAGTTGTAGTTGTCATTGTTGTAGTTGTCGCATTGTTGTCGTCTTAGTTGTTGTAGTTGTAATTGTCGTCGTAGTTGTAGTTGTTGTCATAGTTGTCGTCTTAGTTGTTGTCATTGTTGTAGTTGTCGTCTCAGTAGTTGTTGTCTTAGTTGTAGTTGTCATCATTGTTGTCATAGTTGTCGTCTTAGTTGTTGTAGATGTAATTGTCGTCGTAGTTGTCATAGTTGTCATCTTAGTTGTTGTCATTGTTGTAGTTGTCGTCTCAGTAGTTGTCATCATTGTTGTCATAGTTGTCGTCTTAGTTGTTGTAGATGTAATTGTCGTCATTGTTGTAGTTGTCGTAGTTGTCATTGTTGTCTTAGTTGTTATAGTTGTCGTCTTAGTTGTAGTTGTCATTGTTGTAGTTGTCGTCATTGTTGTCATAGTTGTCGTCTTAGTTGTTGTTGTCGTCGTAGTTGTCATCATTGTTATAGTTGTCGTAGTTGTCATTGTTGTCGTAGTTGTTGTCTTAGTTGTAGTTGTCGTAGTTGTCATAGTTGTTGTCTTAGTTGTATATGTCATTGTTGTAGTTGTCATAGTTGTCATCTTAGTTGTTTTCGTCGTTGTCATTGTCATGCTTGTCGTAGTTGTCGTCATAGTTGTAGTCATTGTTGTAGTTGTCGTCTTAGTTGTTGTCGTCGTTGTCGTCTTTGTTGTTGCTGTCTTCGTCGTCGTTGTCATCGTTGTTGTTTTTGTCATCATTGTTGTCGTTGTCGTCGCCATGCTTGTAGTTGTAGTTGTCGTAGTTGTCATTGTTGTCATCGCTGTTGTTGGTGCGGGACCCCGGTGAGTTGGTTCCATGCACTGAGCTCTCTCTTGCACATTACCTGCCCCAGGCACGCTTTTGTAGGCACACACACACACACACGGGCACGCACGCGCACACACACGCGCACGCACACACACACGCGCACACACACACGAGCACACACACACGCACACACGGCCGCCTGAACAGGCACGGAACAATCTTGCGGATACGCTGAAAATGTGCCGCCAGTCTCGACTTACTTTACACCCTTTTGTGAATGCTTACACGTGCAACGTGTGCAACCGATGCAGCTGGAGAAACATTCCGTCTGAAGCGGCAGCGTGCACCACTTATCTGTGTGTTCGGCTGCGTGTGATTATGCGTGTCGCCCTGGCTGGCTGTCTCGTAAACGTTTGGCATTCTATAAACGTGCACTGCTTGAGTCGTGTATTATTAACGTGTGTGTGTACAAGGTGTCACTGCGTTTTTTTTTTGCGACGCATGTCACTTGACACCCTTGTAAGCGACGAGATGATCCATCTCAAGGGAGTATTATTATTATCCAAGTGAAATATTTGATGAAAAAACAAACGCTTGGCCCTTGATCAGCATTTTATTCTAGTTTATTTCTAAAGTGTCTTGAGATGCAATTGCATTTAGATGCTGTGTACATACAAAGACAAATCCCTCGTATAGCCTTAAGAGACTGTTGGGTCAAGTGCTGTTAGCGAGCACCTATGAAGGCCGGCACGGCGCACCAGGGGGTGGGTGGCCAGCACCACGCTCAGCTTCCTTTGTCTCCCGAGTGGCGATGTTTACACACTGCCCTAGGTACTCATTTGAGGATGAGTCGACCTAGGGGAAGCCCAGGCCCGGTTCAAATAATCGTCTCTTGTGTTGGCCGTGAGCGGGAATCGAACTTGGGTCGCCGGGTTCGTAGCGCAGTGCGCTAACTGCTACACGACCGCTCTCCTGCGTGTGTGTGTGTGTGTATACATACACGTATACACTGACATTGCTGCTGTTAGCAAGCTGTGCCTACACCTCAGCAATCAGTTGCGCAACAATTTGCCCTCAATCACTGCTCGACCCGGGCTCTTAAGTGTTCTGATACTTGCATCGTCTTTGTGCTGTTCGCCTTTTGGCGTTGTTCTCTGGTCTGACACTGGTGGTAGTGAGACTAGGTCATAAAGAAGGCTTCTGTCTCTCGTGTGTAGGCCAATCCGTTTCAAAGACAATGCATCAAATGTTGTTATTATCAGAGCGTGTTTAGTTGCATGTTTTTCCACACGTATTTGTGGTTAATGCAGACTTTATGCCTTGCAAAAGGTATCTATTGGGTGTGTGAACATTTTAACACCTGTTTTATTGCCAAAAACGGTAAAACCCATTAAAATTTTTCATCTTTCTCCAAACCGACAAAAAGGTCTCATTAATACAACTTATTCACAGCCTGCCGCTGCTCTGTCACACGTCTGAGCGAGTAATCGCGAAATAAGGAAATTAAACCGCGCATTCAGGGTTGTGACGACCGACCAACCTCCTTCACGAGTGCAACACGACGTGGGTTACGAATGAAATCCGTCGCTACAGATCGCCAAGCAGGCTCGGTACTCAAAAGCGGAGTCCGATTCCGTTGCGCGACTGCGTCCAACCGGATGCAGAGAGAGACGTCCCTACACCTGCAACTCGGGTTGCATGCAACCAAGTTGGTCAGAGGGTGGTAGGCTCGACTCGATGGATGGGATCGTGATGCGAGGGTTTCTAAGTTGAGGTTCCCGCCAACGATGGGTGTCTCTCCCTCCCCCCGCGTCGCCCAGGTGACCCAGGCGTTGGTGCCGATGCTGGAGGTGACGTTTGGAATGTCGCAGAACGAAGTGCGGCGCGCCACGTGGAGCGTGCCCATGGAGGAGAGCATGCTGTACAGCATGCCACGTGACGCGGACACCTACGGCACACTGCCCAACACGCCCGGGAAAGGTGTGTGTGAGTATGTGGCGTGCGTGCATGTTTGGTGTGCGTGCAAACCCACGGCACCTGGGTCTGTCCCGTGACCTCCTGTCGGCGAGCCTTCGACACTTCACGTGGCCTCAAAGTATGTGTGTGTATGTATGGAGAACTTCTTTCGCACTGTACGTAGCGAAACGTGCTAATCAGAGGTGCGGGGGGAAGGACAACAAACTAAAGTGCACCTGAGTTAAACACGTAGGCTTTCACGACCAGTATTATCCATAATAGAGGTTTTTGGGTTAAAAGTGCAGCACCTGGCCTGGCACAAGCGCAATGGTGTCTTGAGGCTGGGTGTCAGAATCAGTGTCTTGAGACCAGGTGATAGGATCAGTGTCTTCCGAGACCAGGTGATAGGAGCAGTGTCTTGAGATTGGGCGATAGAATCAGTGTCTTGAGACCAGTTGTCAGGATTAGTGTCTTCCGAGACCTGGTGTCAGGATCAGTGTCTTGAGACAGAGTTTCAGGATCAGTGCCTTTGAATTCTGCTCCAGACCGCTGGTCTCTCTGTATTTAAACATACAACGTAACATTTTCACATCACCATAAATAGTCAACGGTTTAAACCGGTGACATTTCTAATTTGATGCAGTATCGCTCTTACCAGACCACTGAAAGAAAATGTTGACTGCAGTACGAATCTCACAAGGTTGATGCAAAATCCTGGATTAACTGTAATGGCAGCAGCATACGAAGGCAGGTGATGTGTATTAAGATTTATTAGATGATTTGTGCACTACCATAGCCATTTGCACGTTAGCAAGATTCACGGCTGATTAACATAAACACACAATCTGCTGCATTACATTATTTAAACATCAAGCACCTCACCATGTTTCTATGCTACGGAGGATTTAAAAAAAAGGCATAAACATCTTTTCATTCAATGGAGTGGTGACTGTACGGCTGTTTTAACGAAGATTTAATTTGCCTTTAAGCGGTGTGTTGATGATTTAAATGACATGTCTGAGATCAAACGGTAAGTTTCCTGAGCATTAGGGTGGCATGTTAATAGAAGAGTGTGGGTGCTGCAAATTTATCTCAAACATTTCGAACACAATTAATGTGCATGCATGCACACACACTGCAGGTTGCACTTTGAGCAAATGCTGAAACATAGACTCCTTGAGCCAAGTCTCAAGACACTGAGCCTCGAACCCGGTCTGAAGACGCTGATCCCAACACCCGGTCTCAAAATGCTGATCCCCTGACACCCGATCTCAAGACACCGACCCTGACACCGGTCTCAAGACATTGACCCTGACACCTGGTCTCAAGACACCGACCCTGACACCGGTCTCAAGACATTGACCCTGACATCCGGTCTCAAGACACCGATCCTGACATCCGGTCTCAAGACACCGATCCTGAGACCCGGTCTCAAGACACCGATTCTGACACCCGTCTCAAGACACCGATCCTGAGACCCGGTCTCAAGATACCGATCCTGACACCCGGTCTCAAGATACCGATCCTGACACCCGGTCTCAAGACACCGACCTTGACATCCGGTCTCAAGACACCGATTCTGACACCCGTCTCAAGACACCGATCCTGAGACCCGGTCTCAAGATACCGATCCTGACACCCGGTCTCAAGACACCGATCTTGACATCCGGTCTCAAGACACCGATCTTGACATCCGGTCTCAAGACACCGATTCTGACACCAGGTCTCAAGACACCGAACCTGACATCCGGTCTCAAGAAACCGATCTTGACATCCGGTCTCAAGACACCGATTTTGACATCCGGTCTCAAGACACCGATCCTGAGACCCGGTCTCAAGACACCGAACCTGACATCCAGTCTCAAGACACCGATCTTGACATCCGGTCTCAAGACACCGATCTTGACATCCGGTCTCAAGACACCGATCTTGACATCCGGTCTGAAGACACCGATCTTGACATCCGGTCTCAAGACACCGATCTTGACATCCGGTCTCAAGACACCGATCTTGACATCCGGTCTCAAGACACCGATCTTGACATCCGGTCTCAAGACACCGATCCTGACACCCGTCTCAAGACACCGATCCTGAGACCCGGTCTCAAGATACCGATCCTGACACCCGATCTCAAGACACCGATTCTGACACCCATCTCAAGACACTGATCCTGAGACCCGGTCTCAAGACACCGATCTTGACATCCGGTCTCAAGACACCGATCCTGACATCCGGTCTCAAGACACTGATCCTAACATCCGGTCTCAAGACACCGATCCTGACATCCGGTCTCAAGACACCGATTCTGACACCCGTCTCAAGACACCGATCCTGACACCCGGTCTCAAGACACCGATCTTGACATCCGGTCTCAAGACACCGATCCTGAGACCCAGTCTCAAGACACCGATCCTGAGACCCGGTCTCAAGACACCGATCCTGACATCCGGTCTCAAGACACTGACCCTGACACCCGGTCTCAAGACACCGAACCTGACATCCGGTCTCAAGACACCGAACCTGACACCCGGTCTCAAGACACCGATTTTGACATCCGGTCTCAAGACACCGAACCTGACATCCGGTCTCAAGACACCGATTCTGACACCCGGTCTCAAGACACCGATCCTGACATCCGGTCTCAAGACACCGATTCTGACACCCGGTCTCAAGACACCGATCTTGACATCCGGTCTCAAGGTTCTTCTGAAGGAGGGTCTCCCCACACTCTGCAGGTCATGGGGGTTATTTGGCCATACTTCACCACGCTGATCCTGCTTCATGTGATTTACGGGAGGCTTGATCTGGTTTAGATATGTTGATGATTTGCTGATGTTGCATTTAGGTGGATAGGAAAAAATGTGGTGCACGGTATGAAAGGAGGCAAAATGAATAAGACTAGACCGCAATAAGACTTGACGGCAATGAAACTCATTTTCTTCTTTGGGGAAAAAAAGTAACAACCCGTGTCTTCCTTGAACAATACACTTGGGGTTTCAATTGGCTCTCATCGTCACCATTCTAGCCGCGATGAATCCCCATGGCCATCGGTGTCGCTCACCAGTTCCACAGTGCAAGAGTCCGTCCAGCACTTGGACACAAGCGGAGTTGTACGCGCGTGCTGTCCTCCCCTAACACGCGTTCCTCTGTCTCTCATTCTTCCGTAATTAAGATTCTACTTTTTTTTGTTACGCACATGGTGCCGATTGCCGGACTTGGTACAGCTGATGGAGAGGTTTTCCGGCGATGGCCGGATTACGTGTACGCATGTACGTACGTTGAACTTCTTCCGCACCGTACGTAGCCAAATCACGTGCTAATCGGAGGTGCGCGCCGGTTTTGCCGGATTGGCCCTCGGGATCGCCGGATAAATATCGGAAGCCGGGATAAATGGCGCGCTGGAAAATCGGCGACGGTCTACTGTGGCTCCATCGGAATCCGTAACAATTTGGCGGAACTCGTCTGCGCGTGTGCTGGGCGACATCAAGTTGTAACTCGCGGCCCACCCTGGGCTGAAACGTAACGGAGAACTCCCCCCAACCCCGCGCGCGCAGAGCTGCCCGCGGGACCCCTGCAGACGACCAGCCACTACCCGATGGGTCAAGCGGAGACCACTCTGGAGGAAGCAGCCGCTCCGGGGAAGCTCCCCGAGACGCCTCTGCGCGCCGAGCCCCCTTCCTCGTACAAGGTGAGAGAGGGGAGGGGGGCGCGGGGGGGGGGCGGGCAGGGAATGAGCAGCGTAAGCAGTCCACTCCGTAAATGATTTTTTTTGGGCTTAGATTGCGAAAATAGCTATGTGGTCGTTAAACCCACCACCCTTCTGTCACAGCCAGTTAGTAAGGTTTGTCACTTAAACAAAACGCGCCAATTCGTTACTAGTTCAGCACACCGGTAGCGTGTTGGAGAGTAAACCCACAACGTTTACCATTCGAGTACGACACACCGGTGTGCTGAACTCGTAACGAATTGGCATGTTTTGTTTCCGTGACAAACCTTACTAATTGGCTGTATCGGGTGATGGTGGGTGTAACAGCACTTTATATTTACGCGATCTAACCAAAAAAACCTCTTATTATGCATTATTATCGATAACATGGAAAATCTTGGTCGCGAACTGACGCAGTCCACTACCAGTTTCGGGCGCCCGTCCTAAGTGCAGTTCGTACGTTCTCTATCGCTCTCTCCCCCCGCTTACTACTCAGGCTTCCTGTGGGTACTCCCTGGTTTCCTCTCATAGCTATCAAAATCGCGTACAATAAAACTGGTATTGGCCCAAGCATACCAAATGCTGAAATATTTCCTACAAATTGCTAAATTGGCGTCACGCACGGCAGCAGCATCACCTTTCTGCTTCGTGAACTTGGCATTACCCTCCTGAAATAGTCTTGAGATTCGGTGAGGCTTTGATGTGCCAGCGAGTTGAGTTGCTGTGCCAGGATATGTGTGTGTGGTTGTATACATATAGTTGTGTCTGTGTAGTGTTGTGGGGAGCAGTACTGTAGTGGTGAGTTCGATGCTCGCTCACGACCAGATATTTTAAGCCGTCCTGGGCCTCCCTTATGTCAACTCGACCTTAAAATGACCACCTGCTACGGTGTGTACAAAAATCAGCACTAGATGAGACAAAGATGGCCAGGCGTGGTGTTGCATGCTCTTCTGGCCTACATAGGTGCTCGTTAAAAGCACTTGCCCCAAAAGTCTGTTAAGGTTATACGTGGGGGGGGGCGGGGCGGATCTTTGTCTTTTTTAACAAAGAGTTGAATGTGTCATTGTGTATGAATGCATGTTTGGGGAGCGGTGGTTATCGCGCTGCGCTACGGACCCAGCGACCCGGGGTCGATTCCCGCTCACGGCCAACACCAGTGACGATTATCTGAACCAATCCAGTGCCTCTCCTAGGTCGACTCAGCATCTAATGAACAACTTAACTCGTGCGGTGTGTAAACATCGCCACTGGGGAGAGAAAGGCCGCCGGGCGTGGTGCTGTCGTGTGCTGTGCCGGCCTTCATAAGCACTGTCCCAACAGTCTGTTAAGGGTCTAAGGGGGGGGGAATCTTTATCTTTGTGTGTGTGCGCGTGCGTGCGTGCGCGTGTGTGCGTGTGCGTGCGTATCAGCTGGTGTGCCAGCGGGCCGAGATGCTGCGCCAGGAGGTGTGCCGCCTGTGGAGGAGCCTGTGGCAGCAGGCCCTGCCGCTGGTGTGCGGCGCGGCGCTGCTCGTGGTGGTGGGGGCGCTGGGCGGCACCGTCATCGTGCTCGGCCTCCGCGTGCTGTGCCCGCACGCGCACGACAGCAAGTACGCATGCACGGGGAACACGTGTACGCGCACGCCCAGAGAGGGGAGCGCACGCGCGTGTACAAGCACACATACATAGTGATGTACACATAGCGACGTGTACTACACGCACATACGACACTCGGCCACTTGTACGACACACAGCAATGTGTGCGCACACACACATGCTATGATCACGCACACACACATGCTATGCTCACGCACATACGTGCTGCGTGCACCCGTGGTGACGTACACACAGTGACGCGCTGAGTAACTTGTCGCCACAGATCTTTTGTATGACGGTTGATGTAAATGCAGAGCAACGACTACAATTTTACATTTAGGTGGTCAAGCCAGACAACCGCGTCAGGAGCAGCAGAGTAGTGTGTCATCGCCGCAATGTCTCCTCTGTATTTGTGGATCTGGCATTGCATCGTTATACGTTGTACGGTCTGTTCTGGTTGCCCACAGTCGCGCACACTACTGGAGAGTTTTTAAATTTCCATCTGTGCATCAGGTATCCGCATCTGCCATGGTTTGTGCGGATGTGGTTTATGGTGGACCGTGACCTTCGTGGAAGAGCAAACCCAGGGACCTTCTGCGTTGGGTCTTTCGCAAGGTGTTTGCGGTTGAACTCGCATCGTTGAATTTGAAGCGTCGTGGGTCCAAAAGGGCTTTGCTGCGTGACTTCCAGCGATGACGAGGGACGTTGTTGAGGTCCCGATGATTGAGAAGGGGCGACTGTTTTCCTCGATTCGCGGGGCTTCCCGGTGGGTTGCAGCGTCGTGGCCGTTGGGTGGGGGGGAGATTTGGTGACAGCACGGGCAGCCCCAGGGTGTTGGGGTCGACTTGAGGGTTCCAAGTGATACACCGCATTCCAGTGTTCAGTTGGACATCATCAAGGCGAGTGCGACGACCTCTGGTCCATGCTTGTGCACAGTATTCAGCTGCAGAGTACACAAGCACCATCGTTTATTCCCCCTAGCACTGAGAGTGCTGATGCTCCTCCAGCTTGTGCTCGCCAGTTTCTGGGCCAGGTTGGCCCTTGTTTTGGTCTTGGTGGCTACCTTTTTCAGGTGGTCATTGAAGGTTAGCGTAGGGTTCAGCTTCACTCCGGGATAGGTCGGAGTGGGGTCGTGTCGCACAGTGTTGCCGCAGAAGGTCACTTTCAGAGTGTGCTTGGCCCTCTTATTATCAAGATGAAATGCAATGGCTGTTGTTTTGTGGGGATTTGGCTTGAGCCTCCATTTCCAGAAATATTTCCCCCCATTGTTCAGAGTGGAGTCGATGTCGTTGAAAGTAGCTGCTTGCATTGCCAGGGCAAGATCATCTGCATATAATAGATTGCGTGACCCGGCTGGCCAGGCAGCTTCGTCACGCCTGTGTGTCTCCGCGTGTCTCCACGTGTCCCAGGTTCGACTCGAAGGCGTTTTACGTGGACAACCTCCAGATGGACTTCCAGCCGCTCATCGTCGACAAGAAAGGGACACCGTGCTAGGAAGATGGGGGGGAGCGCACTTTTAACCCCCGAGCCGATTTCAGTGAAACCTCCCCACCCCCACCACCCCCTTGTTACTTACGCGGCCATAAGCCGCCAGCTGTTCCTCCCCACCCCCATCATTGCGCGCGAGTTCTCCTTGCCCCTCCCGGCTGTCTGTCTCTTCTGTCTCTCTCTCGGTTTTTCTTTGAGAGCCACGCTCCTCGTCGAGAGTTGAAGTGACGATGCTGGCTCGCTGTGTATCGGAACGGTTGTGCTGTGTAACAAGAGTGATAACGATATTGACGATAATGTTTTGTCTCCTTACGTTGGACATTGAGTTCATAGACTATGAATCCATTAGGAATTCCTGGGGGTTGTGCTCTTGATGCCTGAGGCTCGTAGAGCCAGATTAAGGCACGTTTAGGGTTCATTGTTCATTACTGGGATGCAGTCTTGGGCTAGCTTTTAGAATGGATTATTAGGGCTCCATGCTAATACCTGAGGCTCATAGAGACGCACTAAGGTACTCCTTGGATTGTTAGGCATCACTGATTATTCCTAAGGCTCACATGGCCAGTTTTAGGATCCATTGTTAACCACTGAAATTCACAGAGCCAGGCTTGAGGACCTTTAGGGTTCTTAGAATAAAGCATTCATACTTAATACTCACCGAGATAGAATAATGCACTTTAAAAGATTCTTCTGGATCATTGGTAATTGCTGATATCCACACTCACAAATGAGGACACAACGTAGGCACACGTAGGGGTGGTTCTTTTGCACGCTTATTCCTGAGGCTCGACGGAGCCAGACGAAGGCATCCATCACCCAGAGGGTTCAAATCGGAGGAGTTCCCCTCTGTGAAGTTTTTTTCATTTCTTCAGCCAACGCCGGTGGCTGTCGCTTGCCACACCGGGGGGCGCGCGCCGCGGTCAGATTGTGCGACCTGGGGGTTTCCATTTGGCGTTGCCGCTGCGACCGAAATAAGATTGATGGCCGTTTTGGCAGGCGTTCCACCACCCCGTGGAGAGGAAATCTCCCCAAAACGCGCGCCCAATCTCGTTCACGTCTCGCTAGCTAAACTGGTCGTTGTTGGTGGGGACGGCTGAGGGCCGCCTTGGGATTGCCAGGGGTTATTGCAGTCTTCGCGAGGGCCGCAACGACGGCGGGTGGGGGGGGGGGTGGCAGTAGATGGCAGCACAGCAATGGGTGCGGTCCACAGAATCAGGTCTGGCCCACTGCCTCGATTCAGTGTTGCTCCCCTCGCGGAGCCTTTGAAGGGTCTCCCACCTCGTGCGTGTTGCTGGGTTTTTCCGGCTGCTCCGGGGCTTTCCTCCCAAATGAAGCCAGAAACTATTCATCGTACAGCTGGCCAAACATACCAGATTCACAGGACCCTCCCCGCTAAATGATTCTTGAGATGCTGTGAGATTTGGTTTCCTGGGTAAAGAAACTGGCATTATCCTTATTATAAAAATCTGCTTATTGTGAATATCAAATTACCGGCCCCCGTGATTGCTTGTCATGAGCCTGGTCGGACCATCTTAACCCAACACGGCCGTCATCCCAGCAGCACGCAGCCACTCCCGCAGCGCACGACGCAGACTCGGCACCGGCTCCCTCACGGTGCACACCGCACGTTGAGGGTCACCGTCGCATTAGGTGCCACGGTGGCTATGAGATGTTAACCACCTCGCCTGGTTTACAGGAGGTCGTGGGTTCGATCCCGACCCATGATGCCTGCTGCTGTATATTTAGAGTTTGTGGTGTCTCTCTCTCTTCCCCGTGGGTCGCGTGGATTTTTGTCCGGGTCCTTCGGCTTTTCCCTCATTTAGAATCAACGTCACGCGTTCAGAGTATTTCTTTGCGATAAATTTCCACGCGATAAGCCACTTTTGTTGAGCTATCATTTGTGATTACCAGGTCGCTTCTGAAAAATAAGCTATATAGCTCAGTGGGGCCTTACCTGGTAAAACAAAAATAGTTTTAGTGTAGGGCGCCAGCGTTCCGGTGCCGCCGTGCCGGTCTGTGTCTCACAGCAACAAGGGACCTGGGTTGGAATCCTGACCTCTCTCTGTGGCGTTTGTATGTTCTCTCTCCCCCTATTGTTCTGCGTGGATTTCCCCCGGGTTCTCCAGTTTCTTCCCATAGCCAAAATAATCATACAAGGACATTGCTGTTGGCCAAAAGCAGTCGCATGCCGAAACGTTACCTGCACATTGCTCAATTGGGATGGTGCAGTGACATTGCCCCTGACGGCGAACGCATGGCAAGGACTCTGCTGGAAAAGAGTTAAGGCTGGCTGAGGCTCTCATGAACTATTTAAAAACTTAACTATTTGTTTTCAAGGTAAGGCCCAAGTATAGCCAAATACTCCAAACACACGACGTTGATTCTTAATGTGGAGGGAATAAACCGGAGTACCCGGAAAAAAAATTCACGCCTCCACGGGGAGGGAGAACACGCAAACTTCAAATATACAGCAGGCGTCAGGGTCGGGATCGAACCCACGGCCTCCTGTATACTTGGCGAGGTAGTTAACATCTCCTAGCCACCGTGGATGAGCAAGCGTCGCAATATAATGCTTTGACCGCACAGCCGAGGTGAGCGTGCAGCGTGGGTGAATGTGCCATCTACAACAAAAACCACAGGGCCTTGTTCTTGGGCCGAGTCCCCTGAGTGACTCATGGCCGGGAGTCTCCCATCAGAAGTCCCCGTGACCCGGCGAATTGTGCCGCGTGCATCGGCGTGACCCTTCGTGGCCGTTGAGGCTGCGATCGCTGCGGTTACAGAGGTGGGCAGTGATTTTGTTGTGATCTGGACCGCCCCCCCCCACCCCCCCCCCCGTTGCTCTCGTCCCCCGTGCAGTCGTTGCTATGGATCTTTCTTTCATGTTTGTTTCGATGGTACGTAAACGCGCGCACGTGAAATCCGATTGCTTTTTTGTGTTTGATGGAAAGGAACCACTCGTTGCACATGCTTGTACGCACACGCGCACACGTGTACACGCACACACGTCACACGTGTACACGCGCTCACACGTGTACACGCGCACACGTGTACACGCGCACACGTGTACACGCGCACACGTGTACACGCACACACGTGTACACGCACACACACGTACACATGCGCACAGGCGGTGCTGATGTTTACACACCACACCAGGCTCGGTTGGACTTACGGGAGGCCCAGGACCGATTCGAATGTTTGCCGCTGTGGTTTTTTTTAAATTTGTGGTCCTGAGCGGGCATCGACCGCGAGGTTTTCCACGTTCGTGGGCGCTCTCGCGCTAGCCGCTGCGCAACGCACACGCACGTTCACACGTTTACACGTGCGCGTGGTAATAATTATAATTCACAACCCTTTTGTTAGTTCACTCCTGCTTGTAGGCGTCCTCCGACACCCCATTGGCAATCATGGGGGGTTGACCATATTTCACCACGCTGGTCCGTTCGGGTTTAGTTTAGATCACTTGCGCTGTCACGTGGCACATTTACGCACGTCCACATGCGTGTCCGCACACGAAACAGCTGCACATGCAGACACGCATAGAAGTGTACATGTGGGCAGATGCATTCTTATTCGCAAGTGTGTACATGTATAATTATATATACACAAATTAGTAAACAGATTCCCCAATTAGCCTTTTGATGCACAAGTGTGCCCACAGACAGTATATACACACACAAAACCACGCCCGGCCGCCTTTGTCTCCCCAGTGGCGATGTTTACACCGCACCAATGTACTGATTTGAGGCCGATTCGACCTTGGGGAGGCCCAGGACCGGTTCATATACTCACCACTGTTATTGATCTAAGCAGGAATCGAACTCTGGTCGCCAGCTTTGTAGCGCAGCGTGCTAACCACTACGCCACCGCCCCCCACACGTATGCGTGTGTAAACACACATACACACACATACACAAGCACGCACACGTATGTAGTTACACAACACACAAGCACGCACACTCTCCTCGGGAGCTAAGATAGGCACAGAGACCCTTGGCCCTGTGTGTCTTGTTTTTTTTTGTTCACCAGAATCACAGCGGTTTGTTTTAATCACCGAAATGTAATTGTTGTTCCATCATCCGTTCACCCAAATTGGGCTTCCAGATGAAATTTGTCCCAGTCGTGGCTGTTTCACAAACGCAAGCCTTGGACCAGTTTGTGATAACCACACTGCTTTCATCATCATCACCACCATCATCATCCACGATCTTATCTGTTGTTGTATGAGGCGCCTGCCCCCACACAAGCATTCGCCGCAGTCTTCACGACGCAACGACCCCCGTCGTTCTGCATCGCTGACGATGCGAGCGGATCGTATCGCTACTCATCGAGGGTGGGGGGCACGTGGTGGTGGGGCTTAGGGCAGGGCACTGCTGCCACCTCTGGGCTGCCACTGTTGTTGTGTTCGTCTCGCAGAGGCTACCGCGGCCCAGGAAATGTTTTTGTTTAGTGGTGGTGGGGGGGGGGGTTACAGACCACGCGTCCGTGGTTTTGTGTGGCCCGCGTTTGTCACCGGGCGGGTGCGTGGGGTGGTTCGCCACGCTACTGGAGGCGGGTTTCTCTCTTTGTTTTTGTGTTGAACATGAGCCGGACCATGATATTACAACGGTTTAAGGTTCGCGCGTAATTTTTCTCAACAACCTAAAACAACAACAAAAGTCCCGTCTACTTCTCTTGCCTAGGTGGTGTCTGTGAAAACAAACGGCTGCGGTTTGTTGGGAATTAAACAAAATAACAATCTTAAGTGTTACGCCAAACTTCCAAAAGCCGGGAGGGGGGGGGGGGGCTCGTGACGCCACGGAGTTGCGAGGCTCGCGCGTTGAGGCGTCGCCCGGATGAAGATTGACGAGGAGTTGTCGGTGCAACGAGTCGCGTGGTCGTCATTGTGGGACAGCCCGTGCCCAGCAGGGCAGTGCGTGGGCCTTGATGAGGCGGTGGTTGCGTCTCTCTCATCCATGGTTGCCCTTAGTCCGTCGTCGTCGTTATTATAACCATCGTTATCATCACCACCATCGTTATCATTACCGCCGCCATCGTTATCACCATTATCACCATCGTTATTGTTATCGTTATTGTTATCACCATCGTTACCATCATCGCCATCGTTGCCATCATCGTTACCATCATCGTTACCACCATCATCGCCACCACCGTTACCATCATCACCGTCCACGTCCCAAGGCAGCCGTCACCGCCGGCCCCGAATGTCCCTCCCCGCGTCTCGCTCCTCGCCCCACGTCGCTTCACCCCCACGGGGACTCCTCCGCGCCCTCCCGCTCCTCCACACGCGAGGCGAGGGGCGATGCTGCAGCTGGGCGAGGCGAGGTGGTGGCGGCGGTGGTGGCGGACGCCACTCGGGAGCCGGCACTGCTGAGTAGAACGGAGTGGGGTGGGGTGGGTCTCCACATCTCTCTCAAATGTCTCCATATGTTAATGGGTGTCGTCAGGCGCTTGTATTCGTGTATGTTGAACTTCTTTCGCGCCGTACGTTGCCGACCGTGCTAATCGGAGATGCGGGGGGGGGGGGGGGAAGACAACACGCTCCTAGATCTCGCCATGTCTTCTACTTTTACTCCCGAAATTCTGACATTTCTTTCTGCCATTTTATTTTCTCAGCTCTTTCATCCCCACGCGCACACATCGATTGCTTCACGCTCCGTGCAACTCTCGTCCAATGTGCTGCTCTCTGTCAATCCCGCGGACTTTTCCTTCACC